AAGTGGCAAAGCCCATGAGTGCAAGTTGACGAACGGAAAGTAAATTGTATGCAAGGGACTCAAGAAGCATGACCTTCTTGATCGTGAGATCATGAGAAATGACAACCTTTCCAAGTCCCAATACCTTAGAGGACGATGCATCACCCCACTCGACATTGATGGGCATAGATGGAATCTTGTGAACATCCACCACCAAGTCCTTGCTTCCGGTCATATGATTAGTGGCTCCACTATCGAGCAACCATGATCCCCCACCGGAAGCAAACACCTACAAGAGATCAATGCTTGGTTTTAGGTACCCATTTTGTAATGGGTCCTTTGATGTTAGTAACAAGGGTCTTAGGAACCCAAATAGACCATTCAATGTACTCATAAGAAGAACCAACAAACTTGGCATAAACATGTCCATCACTAGCACGGCATAATACATAAGAAGGGTTAAAGTCGCCAGCTTTATTGGGAGGGGTAGCATTGCCCTTCTTGGCATCACTACCCTTCACATTGCTCTTCTTCTTCTTCTTAGAAGCACCCTATCCCTCCTTCACAAACATTTGCTTGAGAGGGGGAGGTCGTTTGGCCTTGTCATCCTTCTTCTTGCTCTTGGACTTGGGTGTGAACTCAATTCCTTCCTTGGCCACAACTTCCTTTTGATTGCTCAAAAGGTCATTGAGGTTCTTCTCACCTTGTATGCACGACACAAGGCCTTTCTCAAGTTGCTTCTTCAACTTTGCATTCTCCTCAACAAGATGCACATGCTCACAACATGGGTTAGTAGCATTTGCATTATCAATTAAGACCATATGAGGAAAGGTGGCTTTCTCCTTGGTTAGCTTTACTTGGAGTTGATCATGAGACTAGCATGAGCACCCTTCAAGGCCTAGTGAGCCTTGTCAAGTAAGTCAAACTCCTCTTTGAGTCTAGCAAGATCAAACCCAAGCTTGGCCTTCTCGGAGTTTAGCACACGAGATACAACAAGAGCATGATCAAGATCTTTCTTTAATTTAGTGTGGTCACCGTTGTATGACTCCTCAAGAGCCAAACGAAGACCTCGCTCTTCCTCAAGAGCATTGGAAAGATCCGAGATCTCATCGGCATAGTCATGACTATGCCCCTCCATCTTAGAGATGGTATCTTCGTGAGCCTCAATCATGTCATTGGCTTCACCAAGTTGTTCCAAGAGAGCAACAAAGTGCTTCTTGGATTTCCCCTTGAGTTTACTCATAAAGGACTCAAATTCATTCTCCTCCACATTGGACCCCTCATGTTCATCAATGCAATCCGTTAACGAAGGATTATTAATGATGGTACTTTTGATGTTGGGAGTTACCTTGTTGGTGGCTTTAGCCATGAGGCATTTGGCAGTGATGTTCTCATTGAGTGAGTCGAAGAGACACACCCGTGGAGTTGTCGCAATGGCAACGGAGGCCATGGCAACCGACTCACCGTCTTCATCATCATCATCATCCTCATGGTACTCTTTTTGTGCCACCAACCCCTTGGGAGGAGTCTTCTTGATGAAGTTGCTCTTGTTGGGGAAAGACTTGGCCTTGTCTTTTCGGATGAGCTTGCCACCATTGTCTTCCCTTTTCTTATAAGGACATTCCGCAACAAAGTGGCTCACATTGCCACAATTATAGCAAGTCCTCACTAGTTGCTTGACCTTTGCGCCACTTGAGTTGTTCTTGTTGAAGTTGGGCCTTATGTTCTTCTTGCTCCAAAATTGCCTTGAAGCAAGAGCCATGTGTTCATGATAAGCATACTTTGTATCTTCGGGATTGCTCTCCTCTTCTTCCTCTTATTCCTCTTCTTCCACACTAACTGTGGCCTTCAAGGCAAGGGTGGGCTTCTTTGCTCTTTGAGAGCGTAACACCACATTGTCGGCGGTCTTGTCCAAGATGCTCATAGCCACAAACTCATCCAACACTTCACTTGAGGATAAGGTGTGGAAGTCCGGCCTTTGATGAATGACGGAGGACATGGCCTTGTGGTAAGGCATCATGGCCTTGAGGAATTTGCGCTTGATCCAATTGTCATCTGTATCCTTGCTCCCATGATCTCGGAGTGAGACCGCGAGAGTAGTTAATCTCCGATAAAGCTCACGAGGTTCTTCATCTTCTTTCATTGCAAACTCATCGGCTTCATCTTGCACCACTTCATAGTTGGAGTGTTGAATGCTTGCGCTTCCCTGGTAGAGGGACACAACGTGGCGCCATGCATCCTTGGCCACAGTGAATGGCCGGAGGTGAGCAAAATCTTCGGGTGGAATTGCATCTTGGATGATGTAGAGAGCATTCTCATTGAATTGATTGTCCGTGGCTTCTCTAGGGGTGAAGTTGCTTCGGTCATGTGGATAAAAACCTTCTTCAATGATTCTCCAAAGGTTAGTATTAACATGATTCAAATGACACTTAAAGCGATAAACCCAAGAATCAAAGTCCTCATTTTTTTACAATCTTAGGAGGAGGACCGGCATGATTCAAATGAGTGGAAGGAATCGGTCCATCATAAGTAAGTGGAGGTCCCACATGGGCAAAGATGTTGTTGCCAATTTTACCACTAGAAGAAGGAGCCTTTTCACTAGTAGATTCCCCTTGTCGGAGTTAGCATCCGTCACCTTGTTAGTGGGATCACCCACTTTCATCGGTGCAGTAGATAGTTTAAGCCCTTCTAAGAATTTATTAAACATGCTTTCAACCTTGGTCGTCATGGAGGTTTTCAATGTGTTCAAAGCCACATTGAATTCCTCATGAGAGACCGCGGTTCCCCCATAGGCCGTAGACAAGATCGGATTCGCACCGAGTGCTCCTCCTCACCGTCTACGGTGTCAACCATACTCTTCGGACGGTAAAGTCCTTAAGAAAGAGATGAGGCTCTCATACCAATTGAAAAGATCGATATAGTTGACTAGAGGGGTGAATAGGCAACTAACAATTTTTAGCTTTTCTTTATCAATTTAAACTTTGCATCAAAGTAGGTTGTCTAGATATGCAACTAGATGAGCAACCTATATGATGCAACGACAATAGGTAAACAAGCAAGCAAGGAAAGTAACACAAGATAAGCTTGCATGAGTAAAGGAATGAGATAACCAAGAGTGGAGCCGGTGAAGACGAGGATGTGTTACCGAAGTTCCTTACTTTTGAGGGGAAGTACGTCTTCGTTGGAGCGGTGTGGAGGCACAATGCTCCCCAAGAAGCCACTAGGGCCACCGTATTCTCCTCACGCCCTCACACAATGCGAGATGACATGATTCCACTATCGGTGCCCTTGGAGGCGGCGACCGGACCTTTACAAAAAAGGTTGGGGCAATCTCAACAACTTAATTGGAGACTCCCAACGACACCACGAAACTTCACCACAATGGAATATGGCTCCGCGGTGACCTCAACTGTCTAGGGTGCTCAAACACCCAAGAGTAATAAGATCTGCAAGGGATTAGTGGAGAAATCAAATTTCTCTTGGTGGAAGTGTAGATCTAGGCCTTCTCAACCAATCCCTAAAGGATCAACAAGTTTGATTGGCTAGGGAGAAAGATCGGGCGAAAATGGAGCTTGGAGCAACAATGAAGCTTAGGGGTGGAAGAGGTGGTCAACTCGGAGAAGAAGACCTCCCTTATATAGTAAGGGGACAAATCCAACCGTTATTCACCAACTCAGACTGTGTAGCACGGTACTACCGCGTCGAGGACGCGGTACTACGGCAAGGGCACACGGTACTACCGCAGGACCCCGCGGTACTACCGCCTGAGCAGCAGAAACCAGAACAACCCAGATGCGTTGAAGCAGAGGGCGGTAGAACCGCTGGCGCGGTACTACCGCTCCCCCTTGCGGTACTACCGCAAGGCAGGGATATTCCAGATTTTGGGAAGGTACAAACATATAAAAAATACATCCGTGGCAACTTCCGCTGAGTTGGGATCCATGCAAAAATCCGACACGGTAGTACTGCAAACCAGGAGCGGTACTACCGCGCGGGGTGCGGATGTAAAAAATTACATCTGCTCCTACTACCGCGCAAGCTACTGAGCCTGGCCAGAGCGCATGGTACTACCGCGTAGGGCGCGAATGTAAAAAATTACATCCGCCCTTACTACCGCAGTAGCAGCAGCGCCTAGCCTGAGGCCACAGTACTACCGCTCCAAGGAAGCGGTACTACCATGGGCACTTGCGGTACTACCGCGCCAGAGGCCGGTACTACCGCAAGGGCCTGCGGTACTACCGCTCCTAGGAGCGGTACTACCGCATGCCCCAGTTCAGCAATCAAGACATTTTGCATAAACAAGAAAAGATGGAGGATGCTCCAAAGTGCCAAAGGAAAGGCGGTGCAAAGGAATAGACGTGTATGTGATGATTCCATCCAAACCTTTCCAAAGCGGACCCCCTTTTAATAATACGGCTTTCCTACGACTCTAATCCACCGAAAAGAAACATAGAGAAACGCCGTATTCAATAGTCTTCGAGGGACACCAAATCGTCTTGTGCCTAGTGATGAAATGTCTGAAATACTCAATGCACACGATTAGTCCGCAAAAGTATTGTCATCAATCACCAAAACAACTAAGGGATAAATATGCCCTTACAACTGCAACAAAAAACTATTTCAAAAGTCTACATTTAATATAGTCTATTAGGCCTTGTACAATGAGAGATGTTTAAAGGGGTGCTTAGAAAAATAAATTAAAATTTTCTGAAGCACCGGTGCCTATTTCTACAGAAGAGATGCTTACTTAAGTGTCTACTCCGTACAAATAAGCATCGGTGCTTAAAAAAATTAATTTATTTGTCTAACCACCTTCTCTAAGCACCTCCAATTGCACAGGGCCTTAGGCCGCCTTCCTTGCGAGTCACGACTCCTCGTCTAATCACACCTTTTCCCCTGTACTCGCGGCCTCGTCTATCTCCACTTCACTGCACTTTTCCTTATTTATTTTCTCAGAAGACCACTATATTCTGCCTCTCCGTTCTGTTCTTGCCGTGTTCTATTTTTCCGCTCTGCTGTACATGGCGTCGGTTGCAGGCGAGGGGAGGAGCCGGGTGCTGGTGATAGGCGGCACGGGCTACATAGGCCGCTTCATCGTCGCCGCCAGCGCACGCGAGGGCCACCCCACCGCCGTCCTCGTCCGCGACGCCGCGCCCGCCGACCCAGCCAAGGCCGCCGTCCTCCAGGGATTCCGGGATGCCGGCGTCACCATCGTCAAGGTCAGCAGCCGTCGTACTCTTCTTATCCAGATCCTTGCTCTGTTTTTATCTCTCTTTTTATGAAAGTTAGTGGGTCCAACTTCTATCTAAGGATGGTGCCATTTTGGGTAAAAATGATAGCAGAAACAGTGATAAGAAATTCTCTGGATTGCTTCATGGCGGCTTTCTTTTTTCTTCTTGTCCCTTGTGGCGGTGCGCGAGTGCTAAACAAAGCAGCGAACTTGGTTTCTGTTGTGGCATATCTATGAACAAGACAGAAATGAGAGTAATGGAAAGGGGATTAGCCCGGTTAAAATAGATAAATTCAGCAAGACAAAAATCAAGGAAATTCGAGGTTTCAGACGAAAAAACAAAATCTTAGAAATATGCTAGAGCAAGGAGCCCTTCCATTCTGTTCGATTCAATCGATCAAATAAACAGTCATGTAAGATGACTTAAAGAACACCCTCTAAAAAAAGGACTTAAAGAAAGTAAAGATTAGGTGATTTGCTTGGATTATGTACAGAATTTATCTTTATCAAATCTGCTAGGCTTTTTAAGATTCTTCAGTGTTCAAGCCCCAATTTGCTGGGGACAAAAGGTATATGTTGTAACACAGTCGTTGTTCTGTTTGATAAAATACTGAAATGTGTTCACAAGGAGGTGGCAAGTCAACAATCTTTCGTGCCATTCAGGACTAAACTATCATGTTGGCAAGGATGATAGCCATCCCTGATTGTGTCGTTACCCCGTGTTGATTACTAAAATAATGACCTCAAGATATAAGTTTGATTGGATGGTGATGTATAACTGTTACATTACTGTTGGATCATTAGGGTGATATGTATGATCATGAGAGCCTGGTGACAGCCATTAAATCAGCAGATGTTGTGATCTCGGCCGTGGGTTATCAACAGCTACCGGATCAAACTCTCATTATCTCGGCAATTAAGGAAGTTGGGCATGTAAAGGTAATTTCCAAAGTCCCAATCATCAATATCAAATTGTTATGTGTGCACACCTTATGGCTTACTGTGAATACTTTAGCTGATAATATAGTTCGAAAATTCTTTGTTATTGATGATTATGCAATAAATGATGGGCTGTAAATTGCAACGAACTGTGCACCCTAAACTCTTATGTGGAACAATTTGTGAATTGCATTTTCTTCAAGTATTCGTATTTTGCTGATGAGAACACTAGTCATTTTGGTACTAAGAAACTGGTTTGACAACTTAGGCTGTTCCCTGCCTTCCACAACATGGTGGACAAAAAAATCATTCAGATGGACGGGAATTAGTTGTGGTTATTTTGTTCAAAACATGTTGAATGTGCCCCTTTTCATATCTGATAGACTGATACCATGCATTCCTCGTGTCATTATTATTTTTCTACAGCAGTTCTTACTGAACTCTGATATTGATGAGCTTCTTGCAGAGATTCTTCCCATCAGAGTATGGTAATGATGTGGATCGTAACCATGCAGTTGAACCTGCAAAGACAGTATTCGGTGGGAAAGCTCATATAAGGCGTGCCATTGAGGCTGAGGGGATTCCCTACACATATGTCTCTTCCAACTTCTTTGCTGGTCGTTTCTTGCGAAGCCTTGCGCAGATTGGGGTCACGGAGCCTCCAACCGAGAAGGTTCTCATTATGGGTGATGGAAATGTAAAAGGTAGATCTGATCAAGATGCCCTTAATATGATTGTACAGTTTTACGATATGAGAAATTAATCTCTATTTTGAGAACGGAATTTAAATCAAACAAGGACTGGGATTATGGCTGCACTCTTATGTGTGTATTTTCGACAATAGGAATCTTTGCGGCGGAGGAAGACGTGGGAACCTACACTATTAAAGCTGTAGATGATCCAAGGACCCTGAACAAAATCCTATATCTGAGGCCACCAAGTAACACTTTGTCCCATAATGAGCTTGTCTCACTCTGGGAGAAGAAACTTGGTAAGACACTTGAGAGGGTGTACCTCCCAGAGGACGAACTCCTGAAGAAGATTCGAGGTCAGAGTAAAAGCCTTGTTTTACTCTTATAATGTTGTAGTTGCCGTCTATACTTATCTTTTGTACTGATTTTGCTCTCTCGGGTATGTTTCAGAGTCATCAGCGCCGCTGAATGTAGCACTGGCAATCAGCCACTCTGTCTGGTTGAAGGGGGACCACACTAACTTTGAGATCGACCCATCATTTGGAGTTGAAGCCACTCAGCTTTACCCTGATGTGCCTTACATTACCGTGGATGAATACCTAAATAGGTTCCTTTAAACTCCTAAATCCTATCGTCGCCAATATTCATATACTTTGAATAAATGTTGGAGGTTATGTATTTTTACTAGAATGGCACGTGAATTACGTAATCAGAGTGTGAGACCTCAATCATGTGAGGAATGCATCTTGCATTCCCTTGAGCTTAGAATATATAAACTGAGGTTGTATAAATTTGGAAATTTTAGCTTGATGGAACATGATACCGTATGTAACAGCCCGGGGGTTTACGCCAAGTTAGAAATTGTTTGTTATTTAATTTTTGCATCATAAGCATTACTGCATTAACTTCGCCATTTTGTTAAATGATGAATAAGTGTCACACGCCAAAAATCTGAATTGAGATTTTTTTTACTCTGTTCTGCCTTTTTTGGGGGGATCTATTTGAAACCTACTTGGATTTTGGTATGAGATGAAACTTGAGTTTGTCATGGTTGATCCTACATCCAGGGAATATTGTTGCCCATATTCCAATGCCTGGAATTCATCAAATCTTTATTCCTTCTTTGTTAAAACCTAATTTTCATATTTGGGAATGATTATTTTCTTCCTAGCATTACAAAGGAGCTACCATTTCTAGACATGAGATGATTCCACCAAAATTCTTAGACACTCACTGAGACTTGCAAAGTCCCAATATATAAATATATTGGCCAACCTTGATCAATATATTTCATTTTTTAAATTCTTTTATTTCCTGCCCTTCTTGGGGGGGGAATTTATAAACCATATTTATGGCCCTGTCAAAATTCTCATAATTCAGTATAGCATTTTTATACCAATGTTGATCTTTGGTAAAGGTTTCAGCCCCAAGATCATCCTATGAAATACCCTTCCTTTATAACCTTCCAAATTAGCCAAAACACACCTTTGTACTAGAGCTTATATTTCTAGACCAGATCAAACACCCATGGTAGCTTTCATATGCCATATAAGAACTCTGTACGAATTTCGGCCCCAACCTTGATGCCTAAAATTATTTTTCTTCATAACCTATGCAAAGTGCATTTTTGCCACTTGCACTACCAACCATATTTCTAGCCATGGTAAAATCCTAAAAAATTCAGATTGGCCTTATGATGCCTAATTTGATCGATGGTAGGAAGCTCGTCCACGTTTTCTTCTGATTTGTGGGAATTCAGACGTGCAAACCGCTCCGTGGATGTTTGGTGGACGACGTTGAAGGGCTCAAAGTGTTCGGACAACGCGGTCCAGACATTTACGAGCGATTTGATGATCGGCGTTGGAGATGCCCTTATTGTTAATATAAAAGATAATGTTTCACACCACCAAATCTCATTGAAATAATTGCAACTGATTCCGCAACAACTTGCCGGGCATAAATAAAATCTTTATATACTTTATTTATGTTATTATGTAAACAGATGAATATGAATAGAAAAAGGTTTGGGGAGTAAAGTTTTGCAAGCCCGTCAACATGTACTACTCCTAGAAAAAATAATTAGTAGGAGTTTAGGGGAAAGGCAGAGATGCTCTACCACGCAGCAAATCGCCAGCCGTGCAGATCGGAGAATCGCAATCCGATCCCAAATCAGGCCCCAGCACCAGCGTGCCCAACGTGGCGCCGGCAGCGGGGCACACGACACCGCTATGGAAATGGAATGCAAGTCAACACACCTCACTTCCACTGTTTGCCCGTCCCCACTACCAGCCTAGCTACATACACGCACCAACCCATGGGCCATGATCCACCCATCCCTCCATCCGTCGCGGTTCCCCCTGCTGAGCTCCCGATCTCTGCTCCGAGGCGTCGGCAATGGAGGTGCTCTGCATCGGGACGGCCGACACCAAGCTGGAGGAGCTGCTCTTCCTCGCCACTCGCCTCCGCTCCAGCCTCGCCGCCTCCGCCTCCGCCTCCGCCCCAAAGGTACTGCTACACTTACACTGTCCGCCTATCTTCTCGTCCCCGCCTGCAACTAGGTGAGGAGTTCAGCTATCCATTCGCATGCTTGAAGCGATCGTCCAGAATGGGGTGAACACGCATTTGGCGTCACCTACTTTAGAAACTACTATAACTACAGTGCAGTTTTGAGGGAGTATTCCTTCACTGAACGCAGAAACCGGAGTTCCTTCTCTGAACGTGCAAACTGCGTCATAGCATTGGGAACTACAGTAGCAGGGTAACATATGGATTATGCTATTTCTCATCTTGTGTTCTTGGAACTAGTTATTATATTTCCGGTTGGTAATTCTGGGATTGCCATATCATAAAAAGAGCGATGCTTCTAGATTTGAAGTTTAACGAAATCATGTGATCATGCGCTCTTCCGGTTTAGCAGTTGTGTTGCGTTTTTAGCCTATGGAAATTCCCTGTGGCTGCTTATTGAACAGGTGACAACAGATGCCATGTCTAATGTTTTGCTCAAGGAGTTCTTATGCAACTTTCACCAAAGTACATTTCCTGCTTAAGGCTCAGAGTACATGAGTCCTTCATTAATTTGTGTTATCCACATACAATAGCCTTAAATATCGATCGTCTACTCTCAGTAATAGACAATCATTCGCCAAGTATCAACAATTGCTACTCCCTACGTTCCATAATTCTTGTCGTGGTTAAACATTGGAGCATCCAAACTGCTGAAGCAGGACACATCTTTATGTGCACCTGTGTGTAGTGCACCCTTGGAGTTGCCCTGTAGGTTTATTATTTGTTTTGTTAACTCGAGCATAACATGTGGTCTATTGAAATGGTAGGTTAAAGTAAGCATAGTGGATGTCTCCACAACTAAAACAGTACCAACACAAGATTCTAAAGATATTGCAGTTATTGCAAGAGATACAGTTCTCTCATGCCATCCGGATTCCAGCCAGCAAGATCTTCCAGATGACAGAGGTGAAGCGATTGCGCTTATGTCAAAGGCCCTTCAGAGCTTTCTGAAAAACAGATATGAGGCCGGCACCCTGGTTGCTGCTGTTGGCCTAGGAGGAAGTGGAGGAACCGCACTAATTGCCCCTGCTCTAAGATCCCTACCACTTGGAGTGCCTAAGCTTATTGTATCCACTGTTGCTAGTGGCAATACTGCACCCTATGTTGGAACATCTGACTTGGTATTGTTTCCTTCAGTTGTTGACATATGTGGAATAAACAGTGTCAGCCGTGTTATATTGTCGAATGCTGCTTCAGCTGTTGCCGGATTGGTATGTGGGATATTAATGGCTTCCAGTGAATCAGATGAAACAGACACAAAGCTGACTGTTGGAATTACAATGTTTGGTGTTACCACACAATGTGCAAATGCGGTCAAAGATAGACTGAACAAAGAAGGGTATGAGACGCTTGTATTCCATGCCACTGGTGTCGGAGGCAAAGCAATGGAAGAACTAGTTAGAGGTGGTTTCATACAGGTAATTAATACTTTCATGTGGTTTTGTACGGTTTTGCCCTTGTCTATTTTTCTATAAGATTTTGTTCTTGTGGAAACTATGTTTTTCAGTTCCTGAACTCTGATGGTAAACTCATTGCCAGACAGAAACTCCACTGGTGTTAATTTACTGTCTGTAGAGTTTTTCATCTTACTTCCATTTGGTTGCATGTAGGGTGTATTGGACATAACAACAACAGAAGTTGCGGATTACATTGTTGGAGGTATCATGGCATGTGATGAGACCAGGTTTGATGCGGTTATAGATAAAAAGATTCCTCTGGTTCTCAGTGTTGGGGCCTTGGATATGGTTAACTTTGGAGCTCATGATACAATACCTGCTGCTTTCTCAGACAGAAAGATCCACATACATAATGAACAGGTTACACATAGCATATTTTCCTATTTTGGACCTTGTTTTGCTTCCTAAATTTACTTGGTCTTTGCCAAATTTTATTTATGATGTATATATTTGCTATGAATACTGAATCATAAATATATTGTTAGGTTAGCACAGTGATATGTTTACCAGATTAATATGCTAGGATATCATTACAGACAATGCTATTATGGTACCAAGAGTAAGGTTGTGGATATATGTACATAGATTGGTAGATATATAAGAGAGGGGTAGGATGAAGGAAGAATTCACATTTTTAAAAAAACAGGTGTCTCTAACAACACGTGTCCTTCTGAACAAGAGTCTCTAACAAGTAAATCCATAGACGAGACATAGTCTAGTCAAACACTATTTCTAACAACCCAACCTATCCCTAAAACAGTATCTTATCTTTAAAGACAGATCTATCGTTATACTTGAATACTCTTCTTATGCACTGCCCACGAATGTGATCCAAATTTGTGAGATTCGACATGAGTGCGCACAGGGTACATGAATGTGATAGAGCATACCGAAATATTGACCACGGCCAAATTACGCAAACGAGAAAAAATGGCAAAGCTGGCCGCGAATTTTTCAAGCACAAGAGCATGACCTCAGAAGAGTACAACGGATTGTCACTCTCCATTCTCCACAACCCTCTCAGACCTTTTGGGACCCTTGGATCCTGTCTCTATAAAAGACTATTGAGCTAATCGAACATAGCATCTAATCCTCTGTTTCTTGGACCTTGATTTGATTTGCGCAATTGCTTGCATTGAGATCATCTGGCCATCTCCTCAAGAGTTTATATAGGCTCCCACTTGTCCTCTTCTAAAGCAAGTAGACTACGTGTCCTAGTAGGATTCCTCGGGGTACCACACCTGTTTGAGTCCTAATAAGATTAGGATTAGAATCGCCATATTCAGTTGAGAAAATCCATCTGTTACATGCAAGCTGTAATTATTACCTTACAAGTATGTATTTTATGTGCCTTTATTTATGAGGATTTCACATTTCCTAATTTTCTTGCGGTGAGTAAAAGACCATGTAATTCTTTCAGATTTCGTTGATGCGGACGACCGTGGAGGAGAACAAGAAATTTGCTCAGTTTATTGCTGACAAGCTGAACAAGTCTTTATCTACAGTTACTGTTTGCCTTCCACAGAAGGGCATCTCTGCAATTGATGCACCTGGAATGCCGTTTTATGATCCTGAGGCTACATCTGCACTATTGGATGAGTTAAATACTCGTCTTGTCAAAACTGAGAACAGACAGGTTTCTTCATGTTACATAATATGTTAGTTGCATCGCTAGAATATGAATAGAAAGGGTCATCGAATGAACTAAGCTGATTGGCTTGTTGACAGCTGAAGCTGCTTCCTTATCATATAAACGATCCTGAATTTGCCAATGCCTTGGTGGATGCATTCTTGAGTATGGATATAAAGGCCTCTAGTGCCATAACTCAGAAAAACAACATGGTCCTACCAAAGCAAGACACAAATGAAAAGGAATCTTCTTCAGGACAGAAGACTTCAGATAGTTCTATCATATGGAGACCCCCAGTGGATTTCCCTGATGCAAGACCAGGTTAGCGGTGATTCTGTTCCCATCTTATGCGCCCAAATTTTATTATGCCCACACAAACAGACTGTTTATTGAATCACTTGTTTTAGTTTCTTACAAAAAAATCGTGGAAGGTTATCTGGTATGTACCTTGTTATCTGCTATGCCACCTTACAGAAAATCCTTCAGGGTGAAGTTCTTATTTCGTTTTTGTTCTCATGCTTCATACCTAGGCTTGTCAGAATTTTTGTGTCTCCAATGATCCAAGAGGTCAAGATAGTTGTGAGTGACAACTCCTTTGGGGCTGTGCTTCAAGCATCTGTAGTACGCTTCACCGTTTGATGTTGTCCACCTTTCTCTAATCTTAGTATCATGTAATTATTGTGGGGTTGTCTTGGCGAAGACCGCAAGCACTGGCCCAAGGGCGCACAGAAATGGTGCCAGCACTTAGGCACAATTCTGACTTGGGAACAGAAGTCTCTATTCAAAGAGATTTCATTGTGTTCCAAAGGATTCATGTAGTCCTGAAGAAACTCAACGTAGCTGGGGATGAGCTCAACATGCACATGGGACAAGCTCGGCGTACATGCCTAACCTTTATGATATCAACCACAAAATACTTGCTATTGTCACCTATTACCTCTCTACTGCGCCAAATCAGAAATGTTCGGTGTCACCTCACGTGTTCGCTGACAAATTAGGATTAACTCCAGCTATTAGTAAGTGCGCTAAGTTTTAGTCTATTTGCAGTACAGTATGATTTTACAAAGGGGTAATGTCAAAACTCTAATGATCTTACACATTATAGTACCCGTGTGCATGGATGAAATAACTGTCAAAGGTCAGAAGTTTGGCATTAGATTCTAGGGCATAATAAGCATTCCGAACCCTCACGTGATACCACACAAGTTACATAAATTTCATAATTTTATTTTCAGCTCATTGTCTCCTTGTTTGGCATGACATGTTAAAGGGCGTTCGTCATTCATTTCAGTTCTTGAGATCTATTGACACAATTCTATACCCTAATGATTCTAATTGCTCACTCTTCAATGATGACAGAAACTTTGCAAAAAACAAAGTCAATACTACATAAGTTAAAGCAACAAATCGGTGAGGGTATTCCTGTAATTGGAGCCGGTGCTGGTACGGGCATATCCGCGAAGTTCGAAGAAGCTGGTGGGGTTGATCTGATTGTGTTGTACAATTCCGGGAGGTTTCGTATGGCTGGAAGGGGCTCATTAGCAGGGCTCCTACCATTTGCTGACGCAAATGCAATTGTACTTGAGATGGCCAATGAAGTGTTGCCTGTAAGTTTTTTTAGTAGTGGGGTTCATTCTTTTGTTTTTCTATTATCTGACTTGAGTATAGCTGGAAGTTAATGAGGTGCTAATTTAGGTCGTTAAAGAAGTTCCTGTTCTTGCTGGGGTTTGCGCTACTGATCCATTTCGTAGAATGGATTACTTTCTTAAACAGCTAGAAGCCATTGGATTTTGTGGTGTCCAAAATTTTCCTACGGTTGGTCTGTTTGATGGGAACTTCAGACAGAACTTGGAAGAAACTGGAATGGGCTACAGGTATTGATTCACCACATCCTTATTTTTCGGATACATGTGTTATCCATGCCATGGCATGGACATAATATGCATATGAAAAATTCTGGGCTGAATGTAGGATATGGATTCTGTTTCAGTGACTTCACAAATCGTAATGGTTAGTTTCCTTATTTAGTTTTCTGCTGAGGGCAAGATTTGCATGTCTGAATTCTGAAATCTTGCTAAATTCCGCATTTGAGTGTGTGTTCAAAGAAATTATGTTAAATTGATCTTGGTCTTTTGCCAGCATGGAAGTGGAGATGATCTCAAGGGCTCACAGCATGGGTTTCCTGACGACCCCGTATGCTTTCAATCCAGAAGAAGGCGCTGCCATGGCCAAGGCCGGAGCGCACATTGTAGTCGCGCATATGGGCCTCACAACAGCTGGATCGATCGGCGCAAAGACGGCCGCCACATTAGATGACAGCATTGTCCGGGTTCAAGCCATTGCCGATGCCGCGGTCGGCGTCAACCCTGACATCATCGTTCTCTGCCATGGAGGTAAGCAGTCTCTGCTTCATGCAGACCTCAAGTAACAGATATGGTGTCTTGATAAATCATGTGATTCTGATGCACAATTCCACCATCAGGTCCCATATCAGGGCCCCGAGAGGCGGAGTTTGTCCTGAAGAACACGAACCGGGTCCATGGATTCTACGGCGCCTCGAGCATGGAGAGGCTGCCGGTTGAGCAGGCCATCACAAACACCATGAGGGAGTACAAACGCATGTCTCTGAAATGAGGTTCGGTGGCTTTACCAGGTGGGCGGATGAAGCGCGCCCGGCGTTCGTCAGGCTGTTGTCACATGTAAATTGTTACTGAAGGTGCCTTGTGCGTTTGAACATATAATAAAAGATACCGACGAAACTATAGGGTGTGTGACGTGGCATGCCGTCTCGTTGGTCCAGGCGGTCATGCATTACAGGATGCCCATCAATGAGATATGATCTTTTCCAGGCGGTCATACATTACAGGACGCCCATCAATGTTTTTCACTAACCCAGTTAACCGAATAACCTTTTGCCCTTCCTTAGACCAGCTAATGAGCCCATGTGTTTCATGCTAAACAAAATCGCTCCAATAACATTGGGTAATAAGCAGCTATGAGAAGCTCTACCCTAAAAAATATAAAAATATGAGAGGCTCCCCATAAGTCCAGAAATTCCGTACTCAGACACACATAAAGGCAACAGCATGACAGAACGCGCGACACAGATACACAAAGAGCGTACCCTCAATTTGAAATAGCAAGCTTACAGAAACAGTAAGGACGCCCAGGCCTAAAGCTTCTGGATTAATAATTCGTCAACTGTCGAAGTATGACCATGCTACGTGCTACTCCCTCCGTTCCAAAATAAATGACTCAACTTTATATTAACTTTAATACAAAGTTAGTACAAAGTTGAATCATCTATTTTGGAACGGAGGGAGTACATTGGAGAAAGCATGCAGCATATTGCTTGCTAATCCCACAATGCTATCATCTGGACTGTAGCTATAAAGGATAATCTTAGGTGTTTCTTTTAGGAGCAGACCTGACACGGATACTAGGCATACTACGCGAACTACCATTACATTTGTACACATTGTCAGAGGCAAGTAAGGCCTTCCAGCGGCGTTCAAGAGGCAAGCAACATGTCACCACCCAGTTCATCAATGGCTTTGTCGAGCTTGGACAGCATATCTAGGGAAAGCAGCAGTACTTAATCAATACAAGTGTGTGAAACGAGGTTCAGTTAACATAAATAAAAATACATGGAATAGGTTTTCAAATTGGCATGTGTCAGTAACAGCCTAAGAAAGGCAGTTATTTATCAAGCATACTAATGTGCAAGAATATTCCCATGGGAAGGAGAGAAAACATACCATGAAAAGAGTCATCCCCCACATATGTCTACAGCAGTAAAAGTAAAACAGAGCATGTTAGGACATACAAGTTGGTTTGGAGGCTTTAAGAACCAAGGCAGAACAATTTTGACAAGCAACATACCTCTATCCCTGCCAAAATATCACGTGTTACGTCACTAACATCAATCTCTTTACCAGCACCCTTTCCTTTATCAGCAACCGAATTTCCACCGGCAGCTGCAGTAGCAACAAGCATTGCTGACAAGTCAGAAAAAGATGGAATGAAACCATCACAAAAAAAAGTAGCAATGTAATAAAATTATCTGTACCATCAAGCCGAGTGTCCAGTATGTAGGCCTGCAAAATTTGCAAATATTAAGAAAATTTCCTTGGAGACCACTTGTGGGATTTACAAATAACCAAGCATTACCTTTTCAGGAGCATGATCAGTTATAGTTGCTGGAAAGGGTCCTCCATCTGTGTTACATGTGTGAACAGTCATTGATAATGGACCAGCAAAATTCAAAATGAAGATATTTGTGGTTTCAATGTCAATTTATCCTATCATGATTTGCCGACCTCTCTCAATTTTAACTGAACCAGAGTAACCCTCAGGGAAACCAGAGTAACCCTCAGGGAAGCCAGAGTAACCCTCAGGAAAACCAGAGCAGATGCTATTGATATTTGTAGCAATGGGAGATTGAAGAACAGGCTGATCTGGTTCCATGTGGTAGCCAACAGCAGGTGCATCTGTCCTGTGATCAGAAGTTGGCTCCTCAAAGCTTACCGCTTCATCAGGCCTAGGCATAGAATATGATGTTAGCAAAGGAAGTATTCCCGCAAGCTACAGACGTGATCATTTTCTTTACTTATTACCTGTATTGAAGTCCATTAGAAGGAATATATTCAGATGATGATGAATCTTCATGCTCACACATATAGTCGCTTCCAGATGGCATGATGTCCATGGTGTTGCTTGAGAGTTCCTTTAAAGTCCATCAAACAAATGCATTTCGTGTTTGAGAGAACATAATACTTTACAAAGTGAAAGGAAAATCATGCCTAATACAGTAATACTTATTTTTACTTGCTCTATCACTCTTGAGAAAATCTAAGCTAACACAGTAGTAAATATTATTACTTGACTCCCATGTAAGCAAACTTGCACCAATGCATTCTAAATTGGGCAGAGATAGTAACTAGCACCACTGCTATGGCATAAGTAAAGTACCACACAACAAAGTGATCAACAAAAATAAGCGAAATTCAGTAACACGTAGTCAGTATGTGAAAATCTGAAAAGCATCCTAAATAGTCTTATCCAGTCCATTATGGTACTCCTGTTCACACATTAAAGCAGGCAAGCAGGGAGGCGCTGTATACCATCGATAAAGAAATAAATAAAATCCTTCAAGAAAAGTGCAAATTAAATAGTACTTCAGAAATGGTCGTGAGCATTTTCAAGGTTGTTGATCAACCTCTACTAGTATTTTATTTATTGTGAATCTAAAACTGCTTCAGATTATTTTTTATGTACAAGATAAAACATGTTTATCTTATCCAGTAAGTTCACATGCAAAATAAGCACATAAAATGAAAAGGTGTCACAACAGTACTACAGTATTAGCAAGCCACTGGATACAGAGACAGAAATCATAAAACACAAGAGAGCATTCCAATGAACACAAATACAAGAAAGAAGTTTGTATGCATGGCATGCGGAATTGTCTCCAGAGACATACATAACTGTGCTGAGCCACATATGAACAGCATCTGAAGATAAGAGAAGGATAGGAAATTGCACCTTCACACTATTCAAGAATGATTCTGCATCACTGAGGCGAGCGAAACGTACAGCAAACTTCTGGACCTGCAGAGAAATCGGTGGTATATAAATTTTGCCAATAGAAATGTGTTCTAAGTAATTTTGCGTGTAGAAGCATCCATGTGAGCAATTTGCAACAAAGAAATTCCTTTTCATTCAACTAATCAGTCATCAGAATCACATTTAGCGATGCAAGGAAACATGCCTGTTTGGACCTATCACAAAAGCTCACGAACACCACCCTGCTCCCTCTAACTGGGCACTCTGTCACGCATGCAACCTGTGGCCATGAGAAGTTGAGGATAGACACATAGTGCTCCTCCTGTGCCATGAAAATAGACCTCAGCGTTGAGTTGTTCGGACAGAAAAGAGAATGTATGACGAAACAGAAATGAACATTGCGTTCAAGTTCGCAGCGTATCCTCATTTCTCCAACCTCCATAACTTCTATCAAATAATATTAGATCAAGAGTTGTAAAAAAAAATAGCAGTGGGAGAATTTGTGGGCAGATGAGCAGTACTTAGGTATGAACACAATACGTCAATACCACATGCAACCATGAAATTGTTCAGCCGACACAATTCAGTTCAAACTTTCAACTTAAGGAATTTCCAGGGTTGCCCCTTATATACATTATTAGGGGCCATAATGCAATGAATACCAATCTTGCTCTGACCAAAGTCCATAAATGATTCAAGGTATTATGTGTTTTCCTCCACATGTAGCAGTTCGGTGACATGAAAGTGAGAACTACTGGGTAACACCCATGCAGAGAGTTCTTCCACCTTTGTGAGCATTCATTGTTGGCCTTCCACTCGCATCACCTTTCTAGCATTGTGGAGTAATTCATTATTTCCAAATAGAACTATAAGATGCAGCACATTTGTAGGTTTCCGTGCAGAACCAAAAGGTCCTAAACTAAAATAGTAAAACTGATGCACAACGAATATAATTGCGCATAATACAACGATCGATGCAATTATACGAAAATATGACGAAAAACTATACTACATGAAAAGATGCAGCATCATGGTTGGCTACGACAAAATAAACAAATGTGAACAGCAATAATTGAGGAAAACGACATTAAATCGAACAAAATACAACACAGCATAATCTCACAAACACTGAATTAATTGTTTGGGTAACCTTTGGGGCATCAATCAGTTCTACATGCGTATTTTATTTCAAACGTGAGGAAAATCAACTGAGAGCCAGAGGTGGTTAACTGGCTATGATCCTGTCTAGCAATGTTGTCACAGTCAAAGTGCTAGCCAACAAACAACCATGATTAATAGTATTATTTACGCTCCAACACAATGCACAGACACACAGTCCATATCGCAAACTCTTGAAACGAATCAATATCAGAGCACCAACACATGGAAGAGCAATGCTGGGTGCCTGGGTCACCAACCGCTCGATCTAATGCAACAATCTTAGAGCTGCCAAATTACACATGTGCACAGGTCGACCCATGCGTGCGCTCGGAACCAGCATCCTCTGAGTTTTAGAACCAAACCAATTAAGAGCAGAAAGTTCTGGAACCAACTAATTCAGCAGAAATGGGTCGGCGCACGGAAAAAACCTTAACCCCAGCAGTAACAAGCATTTTTCGAATGCGATCATCAAACATGCTTAGCTAGAGGGCAAGCAAACAAACATGTAGCAACGCATTCGAAAATGAAAGAGGAGGGGGGAAGGGGGTCGGCGCGGTACGGACGTAGACGACGTCGCCGATGGAGACGGTGAGGACGCGGGCGGCGAAGGAGTGGGTGGGGCGAGAGATGCAGAGGGCGGCGGGGGAGGCGGCCAGGAGCCAGGTGCCCTGGTGGAGTTGCTTGCCGCGGGATATGTAGCGGAGGCCGGGGGGCGGCGGCGTCGAGGGGGCGCGCCGCGGCTTCGCGAAGTAGCGCGCGAACTCCACCTCCCACCTCTGCCTCCGCCGCTTGCCCCCCGCAGCCTCCTCCGCGCGCGACGTGAGCCGCTCCCTGCTCCTGCCGCCGGCGCCCGCCATGGCGACGACGATGACGCCGAGAATGCGGTACGGAGCGTTCGCCGTTTTGGGGGCGTTGGGGTTTTGAGAGCGGAATTCGGTGTTGAATGGTGAAGGTGGATGTAGCAATTCGCTTGCGTTCTCAGCAGGTGTTTTTTACAAGAGTCCTGAACCAAATGAAAATTGCACAATGTGCTAAAATGGATATGAACATAGGGTTGGAACTGGTTTTTAGAGAAATTTTTGGCCTTTTTAAGAAAACAAGTATGTTTGTATCCAAATCATGGAATAATACAAAGTCCTTCAGCACGCTAGTACAGATTCTGACATGGCAGGTTCTCTAGAAACTGAAAAAGATGTTGGACTTATCAACATTTACCAGTTGCCCCAAAGCGGCACAGTAAGAATCCACAACTGATTTCAAAGACTTGGCATCGTAAAAATTAGCTGGCATGAGGATAACGAGTCCTTAGAAGAGTGAAGATTGGTGATAGCAGGGACATCTTTGCAAACATTCGCTCTAGAAATATTTTCATTCTCGTCAGCATGCGTAAGAAAGTAGTCCGACCCTCCGTGCATAACAAATATAAATAAGGAAATAAAGGATTTCCATGCATTAAACCTTTTGTAGGTTTGAAATCCTCACTTTGTTGCATGTTAAATCGGACTTGGTATTTAACTGTGGATACACATTACATAGTAAAAATTGACTCAATTCTTCTGGAAGCCAAGTTTCAACATAATCCCCTTTAAGAAAGACCACTCAACCATATCAACAATGCATACCAAGTTTGATAGTATACAAACCCTCCTTGCCTTCTCTCTTGTTTTTAATTGTATGAAAGCACTCATAAGCCAGTAAAGCATTGTTTGTAATTATTCTTCCAGTCACAAAGCACTTTGAGTTGGACTAATATTCTCTAGCAGAAAAACCCTTCAAACGAGTATCCACTTTTTTTGCAACAATCTTGTCGGCGTTCTGGGAACGGGGGTCCCCAAACTTGCCTGCATGCGGCCTGCGGCGTGGCTCAAAGGGGGCCCGGCACGGCCCATCTTCACCAACACAAGACTCAAGACCCTCGTGAGGGGCCAAGCCTCGCGGGGCGGACGACGTGGAGCTTCCTCAGGCGCGGCCTCGTCAGGCTGGCTCACGAGGAGGCAGAGAAATCAAGGCGGGGTACCTCGCGAGGTGCCCGTGACGCAAGCCATGACGACTCAGGGCGCCAGGCGGGTGCCAGCCCGCGCAGCGTCCTCCTTTCCTCTTTGGTGCAAAGGGAGCAAGCGCAGCCGCGGAGTACCGAGGCATCAGGCAAAGATTGCCATTTCGGTGCAACAAGACCAAGACCAGGAGGACTACGAGACGGAGGTCACCGTGGAGCCCAAGACGGCGTCATCACCAGAGCTTTGCGCAAGTGAAGACTACTTTTGTCAGGATAGCTGACACTTGTTGTCCCCCTTCAAATTAGCCCGCCATTGTTGGCTCCCTTCCCGCTCAATATTTGGGAAGAGGACCAGGGCCTTTATAAATAGGACCAGCCGCCCACAGAGCAAGGGGATGGAAAAAAGGAAGGGAAGGCTCGATAGAGAGGTTGGAAGCATAGAGAGAGAGAGAGAAAGGTGACTAAACTCCTCCCAGCAGTTCATCGCCCCAGCCAAGAGCAGACCCTCGCGAGGCTGTTCTCCCTTGTATTGTTCATCATCATCAGCCCCAAGAGGCAATCCACCCACCACACACTGGAGTAGGGTATTACACCACAACGGTGGCCTGAACCAGTATAAACCTTGTGTCTCTTGTGCAGTTCTTTCAGTAGTCTAGATCCTTGCGAGACGGAGAGGTAGAAGACGTAATCTTCGCGCGCACCCCAGAGTTCGAACCTTAAGGGTCTGCCGAAACCCGAAATTCGACATTTGGCGCGCCGGGTAGGGGTGCGCCGGAATTCGTCTTCCACCGCTCCGTTCTCCTCCGACCATCACGCTCATGTCTGACGCTCGACGAGCCCGCGCGGAGCGCCGGGCCGCCCCCGAGCTCGTCCGCGCCGCAGGGGGCTCTCCTGCGCCGTCCCATCGCGCTACACCAACACCCCCGGTCGTGGCGGCCCTCCTGGGCGGCTCGCAGGCGCCGCCCACAAGTCACCACGTCAAGCCGTTCGTCCGCCGGGTCAGCGCCACTTCCACGCGGCAGGGGGCTCCCCTGGATCGGGCGGCGCCCGAGACCGGCCTGACCTTCAGCTCGGAGGACCACCCCTCCAACTCGGCCTGCTCGGGCGCGCTCCCCATGCTGTGCACCCCCACCATCTGCCAGGTGGCCGTCACCAGAACCCTCGTTGACGGCGGCGCGGGTCTCAGCGTGCTCTCGGTCGAGGCCTTCAACCTCCTCCACATACCCCTGGAATGGCTGCAACCCAACCGGCCCTTCTCGGGCGTTGGGGGCAAGTCGTCCAGTTCCTTAGGGCAGATCCGGCTCCCAGTGACCTTCGGCACCTACGACAACTTCCGCACGGAGCTGGTTGACTTCGACATCGCCCCCATCGGCCTCCCCTACAACGCCATCCTCGGCTACCCGGCGCTGGCCCAATTCATGGCCGCGACGCACCCGGCGTACAACCTCATGAAGATGCCCGGGAGCAGCGGTGTCCTCACTGTGCACGGAGACACCGGGGACGCGCTACGGGCGCTCAAGCTCGCCTTCAAGACGGCGGCGTTGGCACAGCTCGCCGACTTGGAGACCCTCGGGCCCAAGGGGGCTGCACCCGCCAAGAAGAAGCAGTTGTTCACCCAAGACAAGGCAGAAACCAAGCAGATACCCGTCGATGAGGACGGATCCACCGACGCCACTTTCACCATAGGCGCCCACCTCAAACCCAAGCAGGAGGAGGCCCTGGTCGGGTTCCTGCGCGCAAACAAGAAGGTATTTGCTTGGGAGCCGGACCAGTTGGCAGGGATCCCCAGGAGTGTAATCGAGCATCACCTCAATGTGTGCCCCAATGTGCGCCCTATGAAACAGAAGGCCATGGGGCAGTCCACAGAAAAGCAGGCCTTCGTCGTCCAAGAGACCCGCAAATTAGAAGCCGCTGGGGTCATCCGCGAGGTCCGATACCCAGATTGGTTGGCCAACCCTGTCGTTGTGCCAAAGAAGGGAAGGAAGGAGCGTATGTGTGTCGACTTCACCAACCTCAACAAAGCATGCCTGCAAGATCCGTTCCCGCTCCCCCGCATCGACCAGATCGTCGATTCCACTGCGGAATACGACCTGTTATGCTTCCTGGATGCCTTCTCCGGGTATCACCAGATCAAGATGGCGGTAGAAGACGTCGAGAAGACAGCCTTCCTAACCCCGTGTGGGGTATACTGCTACACGTGCATGCCATTCGGGCTGCGTAACGCAGGGGCGACCTTTCAGCGGCTGATGCACATCACCTTGGGCCCGCATCTCGGGAAGAATGTTGAAGCTTACGTCGATGACATTGTGGTAAAGTCTCGGGAGGCCGGGACCTTGATACAGGACTTGGAGGAAACCTTCGCGAGCCTCAACGCAGTGAACCTACGGCTCAACCCAGAGAAGTGTGTGTTCGGAGTCCCCTCGGGCAAGCTCTTGGGTTTCCTCGTGTCCCACCGAGGCATCGAGGCTAACCCAGAGAAGGTCAAGGCGGTGGAAGACATGAGCCCGCCAAAGACTCTCAGAGAAATGCAGAAGCTCACGGGGCGCGTGACCGCGCTAGGGCGCTTCATCTCCAAGTTGGGAGAATGAGCCCTGCCCTTCTTCCAGCTAATGAAGAAAAAGGGGCCCTTCGAGTGGACTGAAGAGGCCGACAAGGCGTTCCAGGATCTCAAGAGATACCTGACCAGCCCACCGGTCATGGTGGCTCCGCGCCCTCAGGAGCCCCTGGTGCTTTACCTCGCCGCCACTCCCTACTCCGTCAGCGCAGCCTTGGTGGCAGTCAGAGAGGAGCGCCGAATCAAAACCATGGCAGCAGCCCGGGACAAGGCAGAGCAGAGACAAGGAAGGCCAACAGAAACCGCCACTGCGGCTGAGGAGGATCAGCCGCCGCAGAGGGGCGCACCAGAGGCGGAAGAGGCCCCTCTTCCAGATGGCCAGTCTCAGGAGGCCTCATTGCCTCAAGAGGCGCCACGGTCTCCGGAAGGAGCCACCAGCACTGACGCACTCCGCCTCATTGAGCATCCAGTGTACTTCGTCAGCACAGTGCTGCGGGATGCATGAGCACGGTACCCCATGCCTCAGAAACTCCTCTTCGCGCTACTGGTGGCTTCGCGCAAGCTGCGGCACTATTTTCAGGGTCACCCCATCAAGGTCGTCTCGTCATACCCCCTGGAGAGAGTGCTCAGGAGCCCTAATTTAGCTGGAAGGGTCACTGAGTGGAACATAGATCTACAAGCGTTTCAGCTCGAATTCAGCATGACCAGGGTCATCAAGGGGGCAGCGTTGGCGGATTTTGTGGCAGAGTGGACGGAGGTGCCAGGCCTCAAGGCCGACGAGGATCGGTCCCTATCCTCGGGAAGCGAGGCGCCAGAAGGCTGGGTCATGTACTTCGATGGGGCGTTCTCTAGGCATGGCGCTGGAGCTGGGGCGGTGCTTATATCGCCCACACAGGACAAGCTCTATTACGCCGTGCAACTCTGCTTCCAGCAAGGCGAAAAGGTCTCCAACAACATAGCGGAGTATGAAGGTTTAATAGCGGGCTTGAAGGCTGCGGCCGCCCTGGGAGTGAAATGCCTCACCATCAAGGGCGATTCGCAGCTCCTTGTCAATTTCTCCAACAAGGTGTACGACCCGAAGGATGAGCACATGGAAGCCTATCTTGCGGAAGTCCGCAGGATGGAGAAGCAATTCTGGGGGTTGGAGTTGCAGCATGTGCCCCGTGGCACCAATCAGGAGGCCGACGACATCGCCAAACGTGCGTCCAGACGGTTACCCCAGGAGCCTGGCGTTTTCGAGGAGCGGCTCTTCAAGCCCTCAGCTCTGCCGTCGTTATCAAACACGGCTCAGCCCTGGGAGGAGCTCC